GACGTGCATCATCATCGAAAGTAAATTTGCCACTGGGACAAATGCCAATTTTGGTATAAGCAATACATAAAACTTTAAATACTAAAAATTTGATGCCCCCAAATAATTACTTTTTTTCCGAGGCCCAGGGTGCAGGCCCAAAAATTACCCAAGGCCTTTTCTTTTCTATTGTTGCTTTCAAATTTTATAAACGTTAAAGGCCAACCAACGATTTCAAACACGTTCAGCAAAAAATCTGAATTTAATTCAAGGTTTTTTGCCTTCTAAACTAATAATAATACTAAACTGTTTTTTCGTTCAAACTAAACCCATTGGGTTACTTCCCACCACCAAAAAAAAAAAAAAAAAAAAAAAAAAAAACCATCGAGACACTACTCACTAATAGCACGAAAAAACCCACCTCCAGAGCCACGGCAAGTGCGACGCCACCGTCACCGCCACCGATTCTAACATCTTCGTATCCGCTGCTGAAATCGTCATCTCCCGCTGCTAATTAACTTTAGTTAGTCTCTTTCTCCAGATTTTGGGAAAAAAATGAGGTGGTATTGAATTATTAAATTTGAATGGTGGAACTATGTTTGACAAATTGATAAGATAAAATATGGCATATAAAATGGTTATTAAATTCATTTTTCTATGACATTGTGAACAGAGGGGAAGAGCCTTGTTTGTGAGTTTACTTCTATTTTTCCAGAATTATTCTATTATTCGATTCTCGAATATCTGATTCATAATTTCTTCCTATTTTCAATGTAAGCACCAACTAGCTGCAATACTCGCTGCCTCAACTGGAGCATGCATTTATGCTAAGGTTTCTGACGAGAAATTAGCCCGAATACGTAAATGGTGTCAAATCATTTCTTAAGTTTGCATACGCAAATCTGGATTGGGGGATGAAGTTATGTGTCCGTGTATTAAGTGTAAAAATTTAATGAGTAGGAGAAAATAAATAGTTTATGAACATTTGATAATGTATGTCTCTAAATTTCTCGGGTTCGTGTTTGAGGAACATGGTATCTTTCGTGTGATAGTAAGAATTGTGATTTCCCTTTGTCTTCTTCTTTGGGTTTTGTGGAGCCACGCCTTTGAAGATGCATAGTTTCCCGAGTTGCGTAAAAAAACGGTAAGGAAAGAATATTCGCATTAGATTTTGAAACTATGAAAATTTCAAATGCAAAAGCGAATGAAAAAACAAATAATTTGAAAATTCGTAGTACATTTTGTTTTCTAAGGGAAGTAGTGATGAAATTGATTTTGTGAAAAAAAAAAATTATGTACTCGAGAAGACGTCTTTGTTGAGATTCTGCCATGCAATCCCCCCCCCCCCGACAATTTCTCAAGCCCTTACTATTTTAAATAGAGATATAAAATAGTCGCATATAATCTGAGCTATATTGTTTTTTATTTATGGAATCCTTTGTGTGATTTTTTTTTGAATATCTTGTTGGACCTCCATTTGATAATTCTTTGCTGAAGTGATAGTTGTAGAATTAGCTTTTATCTAGAATTGTTTACTTGATATGATATTTGGGCTGCTCAGATGCTTTGATATACATGTAGTCCTTTTGGTGTCACCTTCGAATTGATTTATGGAAAATTGCTCTGTAGGTGGTTAATGAAGCAGCCGATGTACAATGTCCTGTAGCAAAAGTGTCCACGAGATCGAAACTTATCTGTTTAAGCTGGAATAAGTACGCCAAAAATCAGATTGCCAGCAGTGAGACTATGAAGGCATTGTAACTGTTTAGGATGTGACTACTCGACAGGTAGCGTACTTATTCTATTCAATTAATCAGTTTCTACATTTTTAGTCTTGTAGACTAAAGTAAATACTTATTTGAACTTCCTCTCGAACTATATTGTATGAATCCTAGAGCGTGATGGAGTATGAGGAGCATGAAAAACGTGCATGGAGTGTTGATTTTTTCATCAAATTAACAACTTGTTGAGGAAAGAGTTTACATCATATGCCATCTGCTGATACACAATGCGCTCATGCACTCTCTGAGTCATGTAGCGTGGCTCATATGCCAGCTCAGGTTCAAGAAACTCAAACTCGGCAATTAAGTGCGAATGACGCGTGTAAAAGGAATTCGCTAAAAAGGTAAACTTTTGCTACCAGGGTTTTCTTCAGAAATATTTCTTTTTCATTACTTGATTTTAACTAGTAGTCCTTGTTGAATTTTGGATTTTTATTTTTCAGAAATGTTCGAAGATTGTTATGGACAAATATGAACTATTGCGGTGGCTAGAGTTTGTTGTTGAAATTCAGATAAACCAGCACATGTTTGGACAATTGATATATATATATTTTAAATCAAAGAATCACTTCTGAGTTTTTGTCATCTGAATACGTAAACCTTGAAATGATCATTTTCAATTCCAATAGTCTAATGCATCTATTTATTTAGTATTGGCCAGTTACTTTTCATTGTCTTCGAATTTTTTATATTCAATATAATTGATGGCAACAAGATTCAGGAAAAAAAATGGATTACAATTGGCAGAAAACATGAATCCTAGAAAAGACACTATTGTCATGAATCTTGGATTTGAATTTATAAGTTGTATAAACAATCATTAAGTAGTAATATAGATAGAGTAAAAAGCAGTTTACTCTCTAAATTAATGGTCGATTTGCACTTTGCCCCCCCAAATAAATTGTTTTTGCACGTTTTTACCTGAACTAACTAATTTGTTGCACAATGCCCAAAAAGTGGCATTTTCAGGCAATATTCACCGGAATCTTAAGCATGCGCCGTTCACGTGAGTTTTAAAGGGGTAAAATTGTCACTTTACTTAAAAATAAAAAAAGTAATAAAAGAAAAGGAAAAAAAATGTATCTTTCTTGAATCATGGCCTTGTGGGAAATAGAAAACATCGGTATTTGAATCATGCCTCCGGCACCGGCGTCCTTTTTCACCAATTAAATTATTCTCTCAAATTTCTTCAAAATAGTGACAATAACAAAAATACAGTCGGTACTCAACCCAATACTCGAATTGGCAGTTAGATTAATAAAATTCCATTCAAAAGAGATATCCAAAGCATTAGCCAAAAATTTTGGAGTGCAGGGTTTGGGCGGCAAAAATTGGATTAGGAAGAAGTAAATGAAAAATATATGTAAAAGGACATATTTTGCCCCAGCCAAAGTCACGTGATTCGCGTGTGCCGTGGGTTCCCGTCAAAATGGCCTGAAAATCCCATTTTTTAGGCACAATGCAACAAAATTTGGAGTTCAGGCAAGAACGTGCAATATTTTTTTTTTTGTTTGGGGGGCAAAGTGCAAATTGACCATTAGTGTAGGAGGCAAACTGCTTTTTACTCATAAAAATATAATGAACATTTGGTTTAAAAAAACAGCGAAAATATGACAAGGCAAACTAAGCCGTGAGAAAGAGAGTGCAACAAAATAACACTACCAAGAATTTCAACAACATCTATTTAAAGGGCGAATGGCAAAAAGTAGACACGGCCCCGGGCCGGGTCGGGTCTGGATCCGGGTCTAGGTCCGGCTTTTAGATGATCCAAAACCGATTTGCGGGGAGGCGGGTCCGGGTCCGGGGCGGATCCACTTGGGTCCAATCGGTTCCGGGTCGGTTCCGGGTCCAAACCTGATTTATTAATTTTTTTCAAAATGTGCTTTGAATGGGTTCGAAGAAATATACTTGCAAGAATGATCACTTGTAAGAAATATATAGCATAAACAAATAGTGTAAAGTGATTATAATAAATAATGTTAAATGGATTATTAATTATCATATTCATAATTATTAAAGAATTTTAGTTAAATTATAACAAATATAATATAATAAAAAAATTAAAAAAAAATTGAAAGAACTTGAGCTTAATCCATTTAAATTTTACGATTCAATTCTAATATTTGAATAAGGGGTTTTTATGCAAAAGTCCCAACCAAGCATGTTTATTATTCTAGGTTTAGGGGACATGTCTCTTTCACCAATAAGCTCATGCCTTTAATATTTATTATAACTAAAGGAAACATTCATGTATATCCCAATATTACCTTCAACCATTTATACTTAATTCTTAATTGTAACCCCAATTTATCAATTTTGTCGACAAAAATCCAATTTTGACCACAAAAATTCAATTTTGACTTTTTTTTGGAGCATAATTTAATATGCTCCAATTTCATCCTTAACTTAATTTAATCTCAATTTGACCCCAAATTTCACAAATTTCTCAATTTTGACCCCAAATTTTTTTTTTTGCCACCGGTTTTCGGCGGTCTCCGGCGTTGACTTTTTTTAGTGTTTTTTTAAGTTTTGTTTTTTTTTTTTTTGGTTTGTTATGTTTTTCCACGCCGCCGCTAAACGTTGACTATAATTGTGCTGTCACTGACAGTAAAGTAACGTAATTATACTGTCAATAATAGTTAATTGACGTAATTGTACTGCCGTTGACATTACATTTATGTAATTGTGCTGCCGTTGACAGTAAATTAATGTAATATTATTATTTTTTATTTTGTTTGATTTGTTGACAAGTCAACGTAATAATATTACTGTCAACAATTACTGTCGTTGACAGTAAAACAACTGTAAACACAATAATATTACTGTCAACAACATCAATATTATTATTTTTTTGGGGGTTTTGTTTTGTTTGAGTTATTCACGGAGTAACGTAATAATATTAATGTCTATTATTGTAATATTACTGTAAACACAATAATATTATTGTGGTTGACGGTAATATTACTGTTCTTATAGTAATATTGCTGTCAACCACATCAATATTATTATTTTGTTTGGATTTTTTGTTTGTTTGAGTTATTCACGGAGTAACGTAATAATATCACTGTCTATTATTTGTAATATTACTGTGGTTGACGGTAATATTACTGTTGTTATAGTAATATTACTGTCACTCACAGTAATATTAATTCTTTTGGTTTTTTTTATTATGTTTACGTTTGTTGAACGGTCAACATAGTAGTATTACTTTATTACACAATAATAATGAGTTTTGTTGTGTTAATATTAATGTGCTAGAGATTAATATAGCAATATTACCGTGTTAAACTATAGTTTAGTTAATTTTACTGTGTTTAACAGTAATATAGTTAATATTACTGTCAATCACAGCAATATTGCTGTTTAAACGGAAAAAAAAACTTACAGAAAAAAAAAAAGAAAAGAAGAAAAAAAAATTAAAAAAGTCAACGCCGGAATCCGGCAAAAAAATCCGGAAGAAAGAAAAAAAAAGTTGAAAAGTCAACGCCGGAATCCGGCGGGAAAAAAAAGTTTTTGAAAAAAAAATTCTGAAAAAAAAAAATTTGGGTCAAAATTGAATAATTTGTGAAATTTGGGGTCAAATTGAAGTTAATTAAGTTAAGGATGAAATTGGAGCATATTAAAGTATGAGGGGTTATTTTAGTCTTTTACAAAAATCTGGAGCATGTGTGGACTTATTGGTAAATGAGATTTTTTGTCTGAATCTCTTTATGAATAAATACCCATTGATAAGCTTATTTGTAATATGCCCTTTGAATAAAACATATATGTAAAAAAGGATTAAATCATCTGATCTACAATTTAATTCTTACGATTTTTACAAATTAAACCAATTTTTAAAAGAGAAATTACATCATAATATTTTGATTATACTAGTCATATATAACTTTATTTTTAAAGTAAGAAAATTAATTGAGTTGAGATATAATCTAATTTTGTTAAAATAGACATCATTTACATTTTTAAAGAATTATCTTATGATATATTTAAATGAGTTATAATCTATATTTTTTTTAAATAAACATCTTATTTTATTTTTTCATTCGATTTTTCACACTATCGATTTTAATAACATAAGTGAGTTTGCATTAAGTCAACGCATTTCTTTAAATATTGAATTGATTCAATTCTATATATTTTTCAATAGTGGAGATTATATTGATATAGTAATTAATAATTGATGTTTTGAAATATTAAACCGTGATTATATATATTTTTTTAAAGCTGCATTTGTTAATAATTTAATTAAACTTATTTACTAATAATTAATATGAAAATTAATAATTTATTTAACATATTTATATGCCAATTAAATCATTTTACCGACGTTTTATATTATATATATTTATTGCCTATACATTATCAAACAACGTTGCGTTTGGCCCAGTGAAAAGTTATGCCCATTCTTTTCAATTTGCCTGAATTCGAAACCCATCTCACCCATTCTTGGATAAAATAGCTGCAATTAACACTCGGGTCCCCCGTCCTGAATTTGGGGACCCGAAACGGACCCATATATGGGCTGGTCCGGGTCCGGGTCAACGGTCAGCGGGCCGGGGCGGGGCTGATCACGGGTCGGGTCCGGATCAAACCCAGCCCGCGGCCGTGCCTAGCAAAAAAGTCCATCACAAGTGACTTAAATGAACATTGGTCCACAAAAAAAAACAGTCTTTCAAATAAATCCATCCCCATGTCTTTAGTCTAAAATACACTCCATAATATAATTCTTATCAATTTCATTCATTATAATCTAACTTCCTTAATATTACACATTGACCCCGAATTTACACAAATATATCACATTAACCCCCAATAATAATAATTTTTTGAAAAAATATTTTTTTTTTTCTGGCCAGATTTCAGCATTGACCTTTTTTTTTTGAAATTTTTTTTTTCAGAAAAAAATATTTGAATTAATATTACTGTCTTAACTGTTAAATTACTGTCTCAGACAAGGCAATTATTTGTGAAATTACTTGCAAGAAATATATATAACATAAACAAATAGTGTAAACTAATTATAATAAATAATATTAAATAGATTATTAATTATCATATTCATAATTATTAAAGAATTTTAATTAAATTAGTAACAAATATAATATAATAAAAAATTAAAATAAATTGAAAGAACTTGAGCTTAATCCATTTAAATCTTACGATTCAATTCTAATATTTGAATAAAACGTTTATGTAAAAAAAGATTAAATCATATGATCTACAATTTAATTCTTACGATTTTTACAAATTAAACCAATTTTTAAAAGAGAAATTACATCATAATATTTTGATTATACTAGTCATATATAATGTTATTTTCAAAGTAAGAAAATTAATTGAATTGAGATATAATCTATTTTTGTTAAAATAAACATCATTTATATTTTTAAATAATTATCTTATGATAAAATACTCAATAATATTAATAAGTTCTTGTCAACAATTAAGGTTAATCGATTTAAATTAATTGAAATGAGTTATAATCTATTTTTTTTTTAATAAACATCTTATTTTATTTTTTCGTTCGATTTTTTCACATTATTGATTTTAATAACACAAGTGAGTTTGTACTAAGTCAACGCATTTGTTTAAATACTGAATTGATTCAATTCTATGTATTTTTCAATAGTGGAGATTATATTGATATAGTAATTAGGGTTAATAGCATTTTGCCACCTCGACTTTGCCCGTTTTTGCACTTTGCCACCTTAACTAAAAAAAGTTGTAAGCGCACACCCAAACTCATTTTTTTTACGCACTTAACCACCTAAGGGGAATATTCCGGCGAATTTTCTCATTTTTCAATTCACGCGCGATGCACCTGCGAAAGTACAAGGGCTTTTT